GTGATGGTTTTGAAAATGCGTACGAAAAGTACTAAATGGTACTAAATTTGGTATTGGATGAAGGGTTAGGTTTGGAATCCTCAAATGTGATATTGAGGTCTCTGTTGGTATCTGGAATTCAGATATGAATGGGGCTTTGCAAATGTGTACTATAATTGTAAGAGAAGAACTAAATAGTACTAAATTTGGTCAAAGAATGGATGTGAAATTCTGAAATTTGTAATAGATGTATCTTTTGGTGTCTGTGGCTATGATATGAAGGTGGTTTGCACATTTGTATTATAAATGTACAAAAAGTACTAAGTGTTACCTATGTTGGTAGTAGTGGGTGTTTGAGTCCTGAATCTTGATATTGAGGTTTCTGTTAGTATCTGGAACTGAGATTTTGATGTAATTTTGCAGATAAGAGTTCAATGTTCTCATTCCAAATGTTTGTATCAGTATTATTTGAAGTGTAAAAATAAAACACTTCGGTCCACGATGTCTGGTACTTCCCGCACATTTCAACATTTTCTAAAAATTATCACATTAAACTATTTTATGAAAAAAAAACTTAGTTTCCAGAGGATTTTTTTTCTCCAGGAAAAAAATCTGGCCTCAGTTCACAGAGGCATTTTTCTACAGAAGAAAATCCCGCCCTAAGTTGATTGCGGCATATTCCCGCCCTCATGTAATTTTTCCAACAGAATATCAGCGACTTCAGGTATTTTTTTCTGCAGAAAAAACTCCAACCTCAGTTCGTAAGGTTGTATTTCGAATAGAAAGAAATTCAGTCTGAGCCATTTTTTGTCATAGAAAAAAAAAAAGCGGGTGGGCCGAACTTTGAATACCCTTCATCATATGGAACGAATTTGGCAGTTTTCAAAAAAATTAAATCCGTTAATGATTCTGTTAAAATCTTAAAAATATCGAATGTACCCGTTATATTAGGGTCGATACGACGACGAGACTTAAACATGTTAAAAAGCAGTAAGTTCGGCCAGGCCGAACTTTGAATACCCTCCACCATTTGGAACGAATTTAGAAAAAAATTTTGTTAAAATTAAAAAAAAAACGAATATTTCCGTTATACGACGACGTGGACCTACATAGGTATTGCTTGTAAGTTATTACCATATTCAAATTCGAAACTTGAAATAAACGGTGAATAATGTAGCTTAAATCATCAAAATATCGTATATAGGGAGGTACCGATCTGTCGGAGCTGTGCGAAGACCTGGGCCAGCATAGACAATATTCTGTCATAGGCTGTAGCATCCATTAAAAACTTAAAATACGACATCTCAAACAATTTCGATGGGTATTGTACCTAAACTCGTCAAAATACCGAATATAGGGAGGTACCGTTATATGGGGGCTATACGAAGACGTGGACCTGCACAGACAATTTTCTGTCATAGGCTGTAGTATCCATTACGAACTTCAAATACCAAATTTGCAACAATTCCAGTGAATAATGTCGCTAAAATCATCAAAATACCGAATATCGGGAGGTGTCATTATATGAAGGCTATATGATATAATCATTTTATCATTATTTCAATATTTATGACGAAATTATACCTCCAATCTTTTAAGTGTTTATTAAATTTTCCCAAGGAGAAAATTGCTTAATTTAAACATCTTAGTGCCCCAATAGTACTCCACACACTCTTTTGAAGACCACATATGCCTCTTCATTAACATCATTTCGAGCTTGAATTTCTTTCATTCTTAACCGTCGTCCCATTTTCTTCCAGTATTTTATTAAAAATACTTTTTACAATGGGGACCATATTTAATTTTTTATACATGCTTACCCATTGTCATTGTTGTTCCATTTTGTTGTATATCCGCAAGTATATTAGCGACAAACTTCTTCACATTCTGCAAATCAAGCATGACTCCCCATGTGCCTCATGCCACATGAGTCTATTTTTGGTTGTCGTTTTCAGATTGTTTCCATTTTTCTGTTTTCCTCTTTTTTTTGTAACAGAATTCTTTGTTATTTGCCCTGGCTGGTTTTGAGAGGAAATGGAAAATCTGGGAGATGGCGAAAGGACAATGTGTGTGTGTCTGTGTGGAAGCAAATTAATTTATCACAAAAATTAACAACAGCTCCAAAGCGCTGAATGGGTCTTTCAGTTTCTGTTCGAATGGTTCCGGAGATAATAAACTGAGGGAAGTAAATTTAGAAATTGGTTTGAAGAATGTTCGAGGATAATAACATTAGGGTGTGACAACCGCGGGCATTGTGTAGCCGAGGCCTGGAATCATGAAATTTAATAATACGGATTAGCCATGGTCTGATCCACTCTAATGTCACCAAAGTGACAACTGCCTTTCAGGAAAATACGCCATTTATTTCTGGCTATGATGTTGTCATGCTCCAAATACGGTTTGTTATTTTTGTCGTTGTTGCTGTCGTTTTTTTCTTCAGCTTTCCAGCGGTGCCCAAGAGGTAAGCCACGGCTAAAATAGGCAGAACATTAAGTCAATAGCCTCAGACTCCCTTCTGGAGCGGCAGTTTGTTTTGTTTTTACCCGCTTGCTGTTATGTGGCCCACACTCATCCGGTTACACATGAGCGATTTCCTTACAATGATTTTAGCGGAAATTTAACATGTTAACAACAGCTGCAGCTTAAATGATAATTTATATGGCCGACCCCCATCGCAATCCATGGCCATACCGCCCCTCGCTTTGCTGCCGTTTTTTTGTCTTCAAGGAAAAGATGCTGGGAGTATGAGCAGCTCCAGCCATGAGGAAAGAAATCACAACTTATACAAATAAACACCTGAACACAAGCACATATATAATTTATATGTATATGTATGTGAGTGTATATGTGTGCAACACATCACGAGAAAAACAACTCAGATGAAAGGAAACAATTATTAATTTTAAATTTAGTCGAAGAAAGCTTCAGTGGGTTCCTTTAAAGATTTAAAAAAGAGCAGAGGAGATTTATGGACCTTCAAAAGAAGTGAAAATAGTTGAATGAATATTTTTTTCAGTAAAAAAGGGGCTATAAAATAGGAGAATGAACAAACAACAAAAGTTAGTTTTCAAAAAAAAACAGGTCCGGCCGAACTTTGACTACCCTCCATGAATTTGGAGTTTTTAAAAAATAAAATCTGTTAAAATCTTAAAAATACCACATTAGTGTCTAAACGACGACGTGGACCTGCATAGGCACGTTTTGTCATAAACCATTACAATATTCAAATGCGAAACTTGAAAAAAAAGGTGAATTAGCTACATTATTCTCCGAATAATAAAAATAGCGAATATAGGGAGGTACCATTGTAGACTGCAGTATCCATTACGAACTTCAAATAACAAATTTGAAATAATTCCGGTGAATAATGTTGCTAAAATTATCAAAATTATTAAAAATACCGAATACAAAGACGAACTTCAAATTCAATTCCCGATGAATAATGTCGCATAAATCATCAAAATATCTCATATCGGGAGGTACTGTTGTATGGGGGCAATACGAAGACGAGGACCTGCACAGACAATTTTCTGTCTTAGGCTGTATTATCTATTTCGAAATTCAAATACCAAATTTGAAACAATTCCGGTAAATAATGCACCTAAAATCATCATAATACCTAATATCGGGGGGTACCGTTATATGGGGGCTATACGAAGACTTGTACCTACACAGATTATTTTCTGTCTTAGGCTGTAGTATCCATTACGAACTTCAAATGCCAAATTTGAAACAATTCCGGTGAATAATGTCGCTAAAAACATCAAAATACCGAATATCGGGAGGTACCGTTATATGGGGGTTATATGATAACTTGGACATACATGGCCCATTTACGAACTTAACCTGCCTACTGGCAAAATATACATGTGTGCAAAATTTTAGCCTTCTATCTCAATTTGTTCGAAAGATAGCGTGATTACAACAGATAGACAGACAGACACACAGACAGACAGACGGACATTGCTAAATCGTCTTAGAATTTTACGCTGATCAAGAATATATATACTTTGTTGGGTCTGACATGAATATTTCGAGGAGTTACAAACGGAATGGCAAAATTAATATACCCTCCATAGTATGGTGGAGGGTATAAAAAGCTTTAAGTTTGGCCGTGTCGAATTTTGAATACCCTCCACCATTTGGAACGAATTGGGCAATTCTCAAAAACAATGAAATCCGGTAAAAATTCTGTTAAAATCTTAAAAATACCGAATGTAGCTGTTATATTAGGGTCTATACAACGACATGGACCTGCATAGGTAACTTTTGTCTAAGCCATTCCAATATTCAAATGCGAAACTTTAAACAAATCGGTGAATAATGTAGCTAATTCATCATCATACCTCATATCGGGAGGTATTGTTATATGGGGGCTATACGAAGACGAGGACCTGCTAAGACAATTTTCTGTCTTAGGCTGTAGTATAGGGAGGTACTGTTATATGGAGGCTATACGAAGACGAGGACCTAAACAGACAATTTTCTGTCTTAGGCTGTAGTATCGGGAGGTACTGTTATATGGGGGCTATACGAAGACGAGGACCTGCACAGACAATTTCCTGTCTTAGACTGCAGTATCCATTTCGAACTTTAAATACCAAATTTAAAACAATTCCAAAATACCGAATATCGGGAGGTACCATTATGTGGGGGCTGTACCAAAACGTGGACCTTCATGGCACATACTATACCAAAAGTAAAATTGTATTACCCCAATTTCGTTCGGAAGCTAGAGTGATTTCCACAGACGGACGGACATCGCTAAATCGACATAGAATCAAGTATATATATACCTTGTGGGGTCTAAAATGTATATTTCGAGGTGTTACAAGCAGAATGACAAACTTTATATACCTTCCATACTATGGTGGAGGGTATAAAAATGCCTTAGTCTCTGAGATTGAATTGTTGGACTGAGAAATAAAATTGTTTAAATAAATGAGAAAACTAGAAAGGACAATTTTTGTAACAGAATTTATTGATGACTACAAAAGAATTTTTACAAATTATTTTTAATTAAAACCAAAAAAAAGTTTTATCTGGGTTTAAATTACAATATGTTTAATTTTTAATAAAAAAATTAATGTTCCTTTAACATATGAATATAAATTTTTCCTTAAAAAAAAATATCCCCAGGGGCTAAGGATCAATTTTTTTCTATTGAAAATAAATTGAATTTTTCGTAACAGTATTTATTTATGAACATAAGAGATAAACAAATTATATTAAATATTAAGACAATATTTAATGGGATTTGAATTACAATTTTTTTTCAATTTTAATAAAATAAAAATACATTTTATTTATTTTATTATCTTAGTTGTGTTTTCATTTTTTGATCCTAGACTCTGGCTAAACTTTACAAAATTTTGTTTTGGTCGCTCTTGTTTGATTTATGTTTTTGTTGTTATTTTTTATATGTCTTTAATTAACTAGCCTAGGTAAGCAATTAAAAAAAGTTGTTTTATTTCTATAATGTCTTTATTTGCCCGTAGCTATTCAAGAACGGTAATTAACCCTTGAAATACAAAGGACAATATCATGGGAGTAGACATGACACAATTTCTATCTATCTATCTCTCTTTCTCTCTCTCTCTCTCTCTGAAATTTTCAAGTTTTCAGAATCTGAGCTCCCAAATTTCGCAAGGTTCTTCACCTTCCAAAATGTGTGTCTGAGTATGTCTGTAAAGAATACCTCTGGGGGAATCTTTTTGTTTTTGACTTTTGTGGTTTAAGGGTTAAGTTGGTTCCTTCTCTCTCTCTCTCTCTCTCTCTCTATCCTTCACACCCAATTTTGATTTACTCTTTGATATTTGATGCACAAATTCTTCAACAAATACAATTAAATTTTATTTTTTATTTATTTTTTGGTTGTCTATTTGTATTACATGCTGTTGTTGTTTTTTTATTATTTTATATATAAATACGAGTATGTAAAGATAAATATAAACGTTTTGTGTATTTTTGGGGGTAAGTGTGTGTGTGTGTGTTTGAGTGTCTATCTGCCTGTCGTTTATTGCTGTTGCTTTGCAACTGCCGACATACATATCTTGTTTTTAATTGTTGTGCTAATCGGTAATTTTTTTTTGTTTTCTTTTTGGTGGAGCAGCAGGATGTGTGGTGTCGTTTTCAAGGAGGGGTTGGGGGACAAGAGGAGGAGACTTACAGAGCAAAGACGTGGGGAGATTTGAAATACAAAAGCACGTTTTTTTTATAATATCTTTTGTTTAGTGAAATCATCTTCATTACGGCTGTTGATGGATGTTGATTTTAATTATACCATACTCCAGCAGCCTGGCATCCTCTCCACACTCCACGGCAACATCCACTGGCAACAAGAACAACAATATGTCCTTTGAGCCTCATTGCACGCATTGTCAGTCAATTGCTTCAGTTATTTTAAATACTGGAACCTCTCCACCGCCATCACCACCACCACCATTATTGTTGTTGTAGACTTTTATCAGCATCATCATCATCGTCGTCAGCATCCTCATTTACGCCATCCGCAACTCACGAGTCTACTGTAAATTACAATCCTCCGAAGCATTATTAATTTGTTGCTTTGTTTTACGTGAAGCCCGTCGTATCAGAGACCTATGTTGTTTGTTGTTGCCATTGATTTGTTTGTTGTAGTTTTTTTTTTCCAAAAGAAAATTTAAACAAATTAGAAAATTTTGAAATTAATTAGCATAGCATATTGGTCAAGCATATCCTTCAGATATGCCAGCCTGTAATTGATGTTGTTTTTGTTTTATTTTCTTATTCGTCATTTTCCTAATTACCTTGATCTTGGCTTCAATTTGGCATCACTACTGCTGGCTGTGGCTGGATCGACGGCATCAACAAGGCTGGATTTCTTATCACTGGAAATGGATGGACTGGCATTGCGATTTTTATCTAAAATGCAGGGTAGAGAGAGGGAGGAGAAAAAATAGAATTAAATAACAAGAAGATGATGGATGATTGAATAAAGAAAAAAATATAATCATTTAGAATTTTATTTCTAAAATATTTTAAATCTCAAACATGTTTATCGCCAGCAGAGATTAAGGGCTTTTCCCAATAGAAAAAAATTATATATCTCTTATAAGGCATTTTTTTCTATAAAAAATAAACAGGAATCAATAATGAGGCATTTGAGGCAAGCATCTTTTTTCTATAGAAAAAAATCCGGACTCAGTAATGAGCCATTTTTTTTCTATAGAAAAAAATCCGGGCTCAGTAATGAGCCATTTTTTTCTATAGAAAAAAATCCGGGCTCAGTAATGAGCCATTTTTTTCTATAGAAAAAAATCCGGGCTCAGTAATGAGCCATTTTTTTCTATAGAAAAAAATCCGGGCTCAGTAATGAGCCATTTTTTTCTATAGAAACAAATCCGGGCTCAGTAATGAGCCATTTTTTTCTATAGAAACAAATCCGGGCTCAGTAATGAGCCATTTTTTCTATAGAAACAAATCCGGGCTCAGTAATGAGCCATTTTTGAGTTGACGGATATTGCCCATCTCCGAACTCGATCTAAGTTTGTCAAAAATATTACGATGTTCCAAGTTTGTACCAAATCGGACAGTTCCTTCGAGAGTTATCGTGCGCATCAGCCAGCCAGACAGACAGACAGACGGACGGACATTGCTAGATCTACTTCAAATGTTTTGAATCGGATTCAGCCCAAGAGACCTAGGGTCTAAAACCGTTATTACGACTAGGCACGTTTTGACCGTATCAAATGATATACCCTCTGTAGCCATATGGCTGAGGGTACAACAATTAGGCTCTAAAACGGTTTTTGGATGATTCACGTTTAAGTCGTATCAAATTATATACACCCTCTGTAGCCCTATGACTGTGCGTGGAAAAACCCATTGCTGATTTTATGTAAGAAAATCCAATTGAAAATCTCTGTCTGACGTAGTTTACATGGCCATCAGTTCCGCTGACTTTGTCCTTTTTATTGCCCCGTGATTTCCTGTTTATGTTTTGTTTTTTGCGTTTCACTTGTTCTCTATTTTTATACACTACACCACAAGGTGGGGAGGATATTATGTCTGTATATTTGTTTGTAACATATAGAAGGAAGCGACTTAGACCTATAGTTCCTTTTAATGATCTGCATAGAATCACATTGTGAGTCGATTTATGCATGTCCGTCCGTCTGTCAATGTATTTTTGTAAAGAAAGTACAGGTTGCATTTTTCGCCCGATCCAAATAAAATATTGCACAAATTATTTGTTTGGCCCAAGGACCAACCCTATTGAAGTTGGCAAGAATTGGTAGTTCAAATTTAGATATAGCTCCCATATATTTCTTCAACCGATTTCGGGTTAAGTGTGCACCAAATGTCCAATATCAGTCCAAATGACCTGCATGTTGGCACATCCAACCGAATTTAGTCTAGAAGCAAGTACATCAAATTTGATGAAAATCGTTCAGATATAGCTATAGCTCCCATATATATGTTTCATCCGAATTGCTGTTTAAGTCCCTCATATGCGTAATATGCATTTTACAACAATCATATTTGGTACCGGACATGAGATATAACTCCGAAATAAGTGTTTGAAATGTTGTCAAGATCAGTTCAGGTTTGGATATACTCCGATATATATCGGTATCCGATTTCAGGTTTATTTTGTACCAAATGACTAATATCAGCCCAAATAGAGTGAATTGTGGCACTTCCAACGGAATCCAGCCCAAAAGCAAGTACTTCAATTTTTTGCTGAAAATCGTTTCAGATATATAGCTATAGCTCCCTTATATATGTTGAAATCGATTTGGTGTTAAAGTCGCTCACATGCGTAATATACACTCCACAACAATCATATCAATGGTACCAATTGTCAGATACCGCTCAAAAATAAGTGCCTAAAATATTGCCAAGATAGGTTTAGATTTCGATATAGCTCCCATATATATCTTTAGCCGATTTCAGGGTTTTTGTGCACCAAATTGCTAATATCAGCCCAAATGGCTCTTCTGACGAAATTCAGCCCCAAAAGCAAATATTTGAAGTGTTGGTGAAAATCGGTTTAAATATAGCTATAGCTCCCATATATATGTTTTATCCGATGTGGTATTAAAGTCCCTCACTTGCGTAATATCCACTCTAAAGCAATGCTATTCGAACATCAGATACAGCTCGAAAATACCTCAGCCAAATTTTATCGAAATCGTGTCAGATTTTTATATATCCTCTACAGATCCGATTTTACGATTATTGCCCACCATATATGTAATATCAGCCCAAATTTGATCGATTATTTCACATTCAGCTAAATTTTTCCACTTGGCGAAACTCGGTCCCGTATATCTATTGCTCCAATACAATTTTTATACCCTACACCACATAGTGGTAAGGGTATTATGTCTTTGTGCATTTGTTTGTAACAGGCAAAAGCAAACGAGATAGATCCATAGTTCCTTTTGATGATCTGCATAGAATCACATTCTGAGTCGATTTATGCATGTCCGTCCGTCCGTCTGTCCGTCTGTCCATGTATTTTTATAAACAAAGTACAGTTCGCATTTATTGCCCTATCCAGATGAAATTTTGCACAAATTATTTGTTTAGCCCAGGAACGAACCCTATTGAAATTGGAGATAATCGGTCAAAATTTAGATAAAGCTCCCATACATATATTGTTGTCCGATTGTGAACTAAACGTGTAATATCAGTCCGAATAGTATGGAATTTTGCACGTACGATCAGATAAAACCTCAAAATAAGTATGCCAAATTTCATCGAAATCGGTTCAGATATAGCTATAGCTCCCATATATATTGTTCATCCGATTTGTTATTTTTGTCCTCCGCAGTCGTAATATGCACTCTGTAACAAAAAAATTTGGGGAAATATATCAAATACAGCTCAGAAATACATTTGCTAAATTTTATCGAGATCGGTTCCGATTTGGATATATATCCCATATATAACTTTGTCCGATTTACCTTTTATTGTGCACCAAACGTCTAATATTTGCCCAAATGCCAAATTTGATGAAATCGATTCAGATATAGCTATAGCTCCCATATATATTGTTCATCCGATTTGTAGTATTTGTTAACCACAGCCGTAATATGCACTCCGTAACAACGATATTTAGGGAAATATATCAAATGCAGCTGAGAAATATCTTGCCAAATTTTATCGAGATCGGTTCAGATTGGGATATATCTCCCATATATATCTTCATCCGATTTCAAATTAATTGTGCACCAAATGGGCAATACAAGTCCGAATTTAAAAGACACAAATGCTTCGGTATATTTACTCCTTTGAACTTTAAATTATAATTATAATCATAGCGTGTATGATTGAATTCTCCCATAAAAACTTTTAATTGTTATGTGGAGCTCTACTTAATTAGCAAAGTGGTGTAGGGTATCATAAAGTCGGCCCCGTCCGACTTTAAGACTTTCTTTACTGGTTTTAATATAAATCTTATCGAAGTCATATCGATTTAGTTTTGGATATATTTCCCAAATTGTGGCTACTCTAAAGCCATGATACGCATTCAAATAAGATTTATAGTTAGTATGATCTACTTCACATTAATACCCAATATAAACTTGTTTATACCCTCCACCATACTATGGAGGGTATATTAACTTTGTCATTCCGTTTGTATCTCCTCGAAATACTCATTTCAGACCCAGCAATCAGCGTCAAATTCTAAGTCGATTTAGCGATGTCCGTCTGTCTGGCTAAAATTTTGCACACATGCTTATTTTTCCAGTAGGCAGGTTAAGTTCGTAAATGGGCCATGTAGGTCCACGTTTTCATATAGCCCCCATATAACGGTACCTCCCGATATTCGGTATTTTGATAATTTTATCGACATTATTAACCGGAATTGTTTCAAATTAGGTATTTGAAGTTCGATATGGATACTATAGCATATGACAGAAAATTTTCTGTGCAGATCCAGGTCTTCGTATAGCCCCCATGTAACGGTACCTCCCGATATTCGGTATTTTGATGATTTTAGCGACATTATTTACCGGAATTGTTTTAAATTTCGCGTTTGAAGTTCGTAATGGATACTACAGCCTATGACAGAAAATTGTCTGTGCAGATCCAGGTTTTCGTAGAGCCCCCATATAACGGTACCTCCCGATATTCGGTATTTTGATGACATTATTCACCGAAATTGTTTCAAATTTGGTATTTGAGATTCGTAATGGATACTACAGCCTATGACAGAAAATTGTCTGTGCAGGTCCAGGTCTTCGTATAGCCCCCATACAACGGTATCTCCCAAAATTTGGTATTTTGATGATTTTAGCGTCATTATTCACCGGAATTATTTCAACTTACGTATTTAGAGTTCGTTATGGGAACTACAGTCTGTGATAGAAATTTGCCTATGCAGTTCCAGGTCTTCGCATAGGCCCCATTTACCAGTACCTCCCTATATTTGGTATTTTGACAAGTTTAGGTACAATACCCATCGAAATAGTTTGAGATGTCGTATTTGAAGTTCGTAATGGATGCTACAGCCTATGACAGAATATTGTGTATGCTGCTCCGATATAACGGTACCTCCCTATATACGATATTTTGATGATTTTAGCCAAATTATTCACCGTTTATTTCAAGTTTCAAATTTGAATATGGTAATGACTTATGACAAACAATGCCTATGTAGGTCCAAGTCGTATAGATCCCAATATAACGGCTATATTCGTTTTTTTTAAATTTTAACATAATTTTTTAAGGATTTTATTTTTTTGAAATTTTCTAAATTCGTTACAAATGGTGAAGGGTATTCAAAGTTCGGCCCGGGCGAAATTACTGCTTTTTAACTTTTTTTTTTGCTACAGGAGCTCTAATTAATACTCATAGTGGTGTAGGGTGTCATATAGTCGGTGCCACTTGACTTTTGACCTTTCCTTACT